GGCTCCATTTTCTCACCAGTAACATGGGAAAATAATAGTACCTGTCTCACAAGTTTGTTGTGAGAATTAAGTGAGCTAACACATGTAAAAAGCTTCGACCTATGCCTATCAGTCTTCTAAATGACTTAATATATGCATTACTATAACAGTTAGCTTACAAAGTAGTTAGTTTTGTATAGCAAATACAAATTATCATTATTATTAAAACATATCTATAAAACGTAACAGACCTTACACAAAGCAGGTGCTCAAAAGTTAGTGTCTGTGCCTGAGATACAAATGACCATCTTCTTCCTTCTCAAAGGGCATACTCCATTACTATCACTTGCTCTTCTCCCAACTTCCCTGGAATAGAAGAGTTTATCATTTTCTACTATATCCTGGTGTTTCTAAAACAAGTAAAGTCTTTTATTGCTGATAACTAGAGGGGAAAAGATAGGGTTAACAAATGACATACCTTAAATTATTTATTCAGCAAATATTTATTGACTGACTGTTACCACTGGCACAGTGCCAGGCACCTGGAAAACAGCAGTGACAAAGAAAGAAAGCCTCTCTACCTACCAGAGTTTATATCAAATGAATTACTTGATTTAAATTATGGTATGTGCTATATGAAAGAGAAACAGTGATTGAAAAGAAAGCATAAAGTTGAAGAATTCAGAAAAGAACAAAGAAAATAAGCATAGGCCTGGTCAGGTAGAGTTTTACAGGCCACATTCACAGTATTCGATGTCTCTAAAGGGAGTGACACAATGAGACTGCCTTTTTAAACATTTAAACATGATGGATGGAAGACGTGCATGTGTTGCTGCCTCTCCTGAAATGACACCGAAATGACAACAGAGCAATAAAAAGCTATAAATCGAAGAGGACGAAAAGAACAGGAGAGGACACAGAAGATGTCAAAGGGACAAAAAATGTCAATAGGTTTACGAGATGGAAGCAGGTGATGCAGCGGTAACTGCCTTGCTGAGCAAAGGGAACTTAAACCTCCAGAGGCCGACAGCAATGAGAAGCGAGTGCTTCACCTCACAGAGCCTCACAAAACAAAACAGAAATGCAAGTACCTTGTACTGATTCTGCAGAAGATGGGGGTAGAGTGAAAGGCTAAAAACGGCAAATTTGGGAGTTAGTGTAATTCTTAAAGTATCTTGGGGCTCAAGTCTCCACCACAAACTCTTGTGGTTAGGTTATTACCCTTCCTCAAAGTTGCAAACCAAAGAGTTTTTCCCTGGAAATATTAAACTAGAAGGGCTCCAGACCGAAACACCAGAACTACAAGAAGTCAGAATGAGGCCCCAGATTGAAACAGGAGGGTTAAGTAAAAGCAGGCAGACTTTCATTATTTCTCCACATCCCTGATGAAAGATTAGATAGTCCCTTCTGATATTTGGAGGTGCTCCAATTCAAAATACTCAGAATCACCCTTCCCAGAAGCTGCTGGTTATACGCCTTACTAACTCAGTTGGGGCTTCAAGTCCATATTGAGTGCTCTTAAATATGAATGAAGAGCATTTCTGTTTAGTCATTTACGTCAGCAGACACCTGAGAAAATCCTACAACATGAGGAACAACAACTAAACAATAAAAATAGGACATAATTAATATGGTCAGAGAAATAAGCACCTTGTATCCATGAAATAAGAAACAAAAACAGTAAACAAAAAAGTATGCACATCTTAAAACTATAATAGCTAATACTGTAGTAATTTAACAGAAGGCTCAGAAGAGAAAGTCAAAGAAATCTCCAAAAAATTTGAGGACAAGGAGTTGGGAGTGGTAGAGACGGAAAACAGAAGAAAACCAAAAATTGGAGATTCAATCCTAGTGGTCAAAAATCCAACATAATGGAGTCCCAGAGAGGGACTACATGGAAAAATGGAAGGCAGAGAATTATTGAAGGAATAAATCAATAGAATCTCTCAAAATTGATGGACTCAAAACTGAGTCTCTGTTTGAAATGCTGAGTATCTGTCAGGATGAATGACCAAAGTAAACACAATGGAAAAAGAGAAGACACCAAACCTTCCAGAGTGATGAATCAAGTTGATTAAAAGGATCTGGAGTCAGAATAGAACTGGACTTCTCAATAGCAATACCCATCCTTCCGACCCAGAAGTCTGGTCATCATCATCCCCATTGGGAGTGAGTGGTGACGCCACTGTCTGAATGAAGGAACACAGGAGCAGGCCCAAGGCTGTACAAGAAGTTAGAATTGAGCTCTTAGGAATCTGAGCTACCTGTAGAACACAGAAAAGGAAGGTAGGAAAGCTTTAAGTAAGTTAAAATTTATTATTTGTCTCTGATCTTCATTCAGATTGACCTCAGCTGTTCTGAGATTTCCTCATTTACCCATCCTCTTAGCTCCTGTCTTGGGGGTCAAGTAATATTTGAAATTGTAGTCTCAGGAATTATTCCCAAATTCCACTTACCTTAGGGGGATCTCTGCCTAAAAAGATAACTCTCTCCCCTCCAGATTTTGAAAGAGGAATGGGAAAGGGAAAGGAAAGACGTGGAAGAGGGTTGAGCAAACAAGAAAAGCAGAGTGTAGAAGGTTCAAAACAATCCCTCAAGAGGCTGGCTTAGCTCACACGAGAACTGTCATGCTCTTCACCTCCAAACCAGTTCCTCCTCTACTCAATGCAGAGGTCATCAGAAGGAAGCTGTGACAGAGACCCTTACAGCCTGTATTTTTTGACTATCAATGCCTCGTATAGCACTTCACACAGCAAATGGTGCTCAGTAAATTTCAGTCTAACCTGCTCGCCCCTCCTTTAGGGTTTCAGCAACTCCTTCGGAGTGTGGGTGGGGGAGTATATGCAAATCTGTATTGTGTGGTTTACTTGCTATGCTCCTGTTAGTTGAAATAGTTGTAAAAAAAATTTTTAAACATTGTGAATTAAAATTCTTGTCATTTTATCCTTCAGCATTGAAAACAAAAGTGACCCTGAATGCAGTTTCTGCTTTCCCCAAGACTCTTACTGGAGCTGTTAATAAGTGACAAGAAAAACTGGTTTGATTCACCTGCTAATGAGCTGTGAGATGGTCTAAAGAACAAAGAAAAAAAAATCAAAACCTTATGGTATTAATTTTAGATGAAAGCAAAAATACTTCAGACAAATGAATTCAGAAAAATGAATATCCAAGTGAAATTAACTCTGCTTGTTGTGGAAACACAGCAGTAAGAGGGCCAGCAAGGAGCCAGGAACAGCGTAAACAAACACCAGGAAAGTTATTTTCAGAATTTGTTTACTTAATAATATTTAACACCGAAATCAAACCTAAGAGGGTCATTAGAGAGACGTTCTGCATTACTCCACTTAAGCAATCAGAGTCAGTAAGTAGCATAAAGATACATTACTCATTTGGTCCTCCCAAACAACAGTTTGTTCCTACAGCAAATATGAAAGCACAGCATTGCATTGCAGGTTGTTTGATATGGGTCTGTCTGTCTAGATGGTGGAGGGCTCCAGGGCAAGGACAATTGAAAGGGCCTTATTAAAGTGTGTTACTTCACTTCAAACATACAGTATTCAGTATTTCTTAATTGATAGTGAAGTTATTTCTTTAGCCAATCTGATCTAAAAGCCACCCAAATCAATGCGCATAAAAACAAAAAGCAAATGAAGCCTGCAGATTTTAGTTTGTCTTAATTCATGATAAAAATAGTCCTAGTGATACCAATTGTCCGATGAATCAGGTCAAAATGATTCAACTAATGAATGCTTACCTACTGAGATGCTATGCCTAATATTTATAGCAAGCTTTACCATAGTGTCCTTACAGAGGAAGCAATTTATCATGAACTGTCTAGCAGTTTAAAATAAGACTACCTATTCTACTAGTTCAAATATGCTAACAAGTTCAGGATATTCCACTCCAAAAAATGACTCTCCACATAATAAAGGTTAAATCAATCCTCAGGTTATAATACGGGATCAAACTCTGCCTGAAAACAATTTTAAAACATTGTAAACCCATTTACTGTAACCTTGTGGCACCTGTTAATTAACATTATTTCGTAGCTTTAGCTCCATCAACGATTCGCACCCGGAGAATTATGAGAACAAGGGAGTCCACGTGCCTCATTTTACAGACTGAGATAAAGACCTGAAAGCAATTTCTTCAAGGTTAAGCAGAGGTGTGTGTGACAGATTTGAACTTAACCCTCCTCCTCTTTAATACCCATGCCTTCCTTGTCTTTTTCAGCATTTAAGTCACTTGCAAACGTGGTAGAGTCAAGTTGTGCATTCTCAATTGCCAATTACGGAATAATCGACAGAATACTAACCGAATATTAATACAAATAACATATTTCCTTTTGTGATCTCCTAAGACGGTTGAAAAAGAAAAAAAAAGGCAATAAACTTAAATTTGCCTATTCACAGTATTTATAAGTAAGTATAGAAAGAAAGGAAAACTGCCTGGGGAAACAGTAAATGTACCTTATGGTGAATTTCACTAGTAGTAATAAAAAGACCTCTCGGGTTAAATATTCTCTCTCTAAATGATCATGGTTAGAAATTATTTTTAAAATGCTTTCTAGGGACGTCTTTCTTCTTTCTATACACGTCTGCTTTGATTATTCATCTACTCGTTTTTTTAAATTTAACTTTTCCAGTTTGCCTTCAGTTGGAGTGACTTTTCCGAAAAGTAGCACCGGATCTAGCACAGAGAGTAGCACACATCTGGAGTAAAGTTGGAGAGACAAGGGGATGGGGGCGGGGGTCTGAGGCTGGGAGAACTACAGAGAAAAAGGAGATTTCTCCGCCCCGCTGCGCGCCGAGATGAGCACCCCGGCCTCACCAGGGGGGCCAGCGCGGGTGCCAGGCCGCCCCTCCTGCGGTGCCAACCCCCTCCCCAGCCGCGTGGGGAGCGGGGCTGCGCGTTCCGCCGCGGGTCGTCCGGGGCCGCGCCGGGCTGCGATTGGACGCGCCGCCGCCAGGCACCCGCCAGAAGCGTGAACGCTCTGGGAAGGGGGGGGCGTTCCTGCGAGTCGAGGGCTTCGGCTTTTGTACGTCTCCCCCTCCCCGGCGCGCTCCATGCCGGCTCTGTCTCTCCAGCTCGCCTGGGCTCGCTCGCGCGCCCGGAGAGTTGGCGCAAACCTCGCCGCCGCCGCCTCGCGCGGGCTCCCGCCCCAGCCTCGCCACCTTTCCCTGCGCCCGCCGCTCCCGCCATGGGGCCAACTTGGGGCTCCTAGGAGTTGCCGCTTCTTAGCAACGCGCTCTCCGGCCAAAGTCCCCGCGGGCGGGCTATGGCTTAGGGCGCACAAGGGGCTAGCCTGGAGATAACGAGAAGGGGAAAGGACGGCTAACTGGGGAAAAAGAGACCAAACGATGAGTTTCCACAAGGAGGACGGAGTGAGCAGCCTGTGCCAGAAGGCGCTGCACATCGTCACCGAGCTGTGCTTCGCGGGCCAGGTGGAGTGGGAGAAGTGCTCGGGCATCTTCCCCGCGGACAGGGGCAGCCAGGGAGGAGGCAGCACAGGTAACCAGGGGAGGGCTCCGTTCGCGTCCTCGCGCTCAGCCGGGACCCCGCGCGCTCAGCTTCAAGCGCCCGGTTCTGCGCCTCCCGCGCGGCACCAGGGGCATCTTTGGGACGCCGCGCCTGCCTACCTCGCTCCCTCCTTCCGTTCGGCTGCAGGTGACTTCGAGCGCGGTCTGTTTGTTCGGGTTTGGTCTCCTCGTGTGCACCTGCCAGGTTTCTCCCACTTCTCTGGGCTGCTGCTCGCCCGCAGGCGCCGTGTCTCGCTCCCTGGCGCCCGCGCCCCCTCTCTCCGCGCTCTCCCACGCCTCCGGGCTCGCTCCCGGAGGGGAGAGGCTGCCCGCGAGACGCCCGCCTGCCCTCGCTCGTCCCGCGGGTGGCGAGTCGCGAGTTTGGGGAAGAGGCCGGTCTGGAGAATCTGTGCTTGAGCGCAAATGGGGCTGCCTTAGCCTCCGAGAGCAGAAAGGGTCCCGGTAGCGGTGACCCGCAGCCGCAACCTGTCGAGCACTTTAGTGTCCAAAGCCCTTCAATAGGTATGATTTTCCAGGGCTTCATGACAACGTTGGCAAAACAGCAAGGATTATAGATCCCAGTTTTTGGAGGCGACAGCGAAGGCTCAGGGCACGTACAGAATAAGTGGAAGAGATGAAAAAGGTCATAAATCCCTTCCACACACGCGTTCTCATACGCGCCCTAACACACAGGCATCCTCCCTACCCCTTCAGGAAATTTGGAAAGAAATGGGAGGTGGGAGATGGAGAAGGACATCCACCGCCAGAAATCTGGAGGTGGAAAGAAGTCTCAGGTGACAGATTTTTCTCGGGATGGGGGGGCGTATCAGAACTAGAACCACTGTTTTGCTCCCGCTTGGGGTAAAGGGTTTTAACCACCTGCGCAGTGGTTGGTTTGTGCAGCCTGTGGTGCTGTTCACGCGCACGAGATGGACTCCCGGAGTTGCAGCCGCGTGGTTTCCAGAGTCCCTTGTGAGGGTCACTTGTTGCTTTGGGAGACAAACACTGGTTTCGGGATTGGGGGCATCAGGCTGGAAGAAAGGTTGCCATTCCCTCTGTAGGGTCTTGTTTCTTTCCCTTTGCTTTCCCATCATTTGTGCCTCCTGGTGGGGCTTCCTGGGTTGAGGGTAGCCAGGGCAACAGGAGATGGACCGCTGTGCTCTGAGCGCAGCACGACGGTAGACAGCCCTGCGTGCTGGGGAGGAGGCAAGGAGGGCACGCTTGGTGAATTCCCACCCCCTACCACCGAAGACAAAGGGAGAGGGGATGGAGGTGGGAATAGATGTGCTTTAGCTTTTACATGCCATTATGTAAATGGGATATCTGCAGGATTTTGGAATTCTCTGGTCATGGCAACAGGAACCAGAGAGGCTTGTGTCTGCACCTGCAGAACCTGAGGAGATGCTGCTACTTGGCCCAGGGAGCAGAGTGATGCATAATTGCTGCTGTCCACATGCTGGAAACTTAGAGATTCTGTGACTGTATAAACACAGCAGAGGCTTTTCCGTTTGTCCAGGAGATGTTAAACTCCAGGGAATGTAGGAAACTCAACTAATAGTGGATGGCACTGGGTGAACATCCGGTCCGTATGCCTGTCATGTGTATGGCTGCTAAGCAGGAGATAAACACTCAAAATAGTATGACCTTACAATCCTTTGTGTGATATTGGCTAAGCTCTTCTGAAATGTCTTTAATGAGACACATGCTAGAGAGAAGACTCAGAGAAGGGGGGACGGTGGAAGAAATGAAAGTATTTAAGTTTAAAGACCTATATTTTAGTCATTTAACAATTGATGCTGTGGATAAAACTACTAATTTCCCACCTTCCCTCCCCCACCTCGGTGATCATACACGAAGTAGTAGTTTCCTAGGTCACAGATTGGCTAGTAATGAGGAAAATTGCTTCTAAATCTTTCTAAATACACAACTACATGAGCTTAAGGTAAAACAGTATATGAATAAGGGCTCTGAGCTTGTTCTAAGCACTACAAGAAGTAGTGGTAATCCTAATTCCTTTTGCACTTTCCCTTGGGAACAAAAAGTGTGAGGGAAATAATCTAAAACGATTATATGGATATTTTTCTCCCCTTAAAGGAAAGCATATACTATTTCAAATAGGATATTTGGTTTAATATATGAATATATATTGAATGACTAACACGAGAGAAGACATTCTACTAGGTTGGTATGAGATACAAAGATGCACAAGATTTCTTTCCATTTCCCATTGCAGATCTATGTAACAATTAGTAGTAAAATACTTTAATTCTCAAACTCCCAAATATGATAGATATCTATGAAATGGATTCAAAGATTATTTAACCAATCTTTATATTAATGAGCCACTCAGCTTCACATTGTTCTTTAAAGTAGATTTTCTAATGAGTTATGCACTTGTACCTTTTATTATAGATCCCTTAATAAAAATACTTCCAGCAGACAATCTTTCTACTCACTGTTTGTTTAGGGAGAAGCACATTATTGGCAGAAGGACATCGATGTTGAATGGTATGGTGGTGATTTACTTTGAATGTTAATGAGCACTGCCCAGATGGTGTTAGTTGTTCTCAGGTTGCAGTGACAGTTGCAAGCTTCCAGATTATGTATATTTTTAGATTCCTTCACATAGGGGTAGAGGGAGAGAAATTCAGGTAATCCCAATTAAAGTGATTCTGCATTAAAGTTATGAATCACATAAGTAAATAAGATATTACCCTACTGATTTTTTAAATGCCCATAAAGAGCAACCTTCACCATCCTTTTTACCATAACAGCAGGAGCAGTGTGATTGACATTCAGGATCTGCTGATCAAGTGGACCAATACGCTATTTTCGTAAAATTTGTGGAGACTTAGACTGCAGTGGCCAGCACTAGTTAACTTACTCTTTTGAAATAGTTTCTTAGAGATGTTATTGATGTCAACAATACTAGCCCATTAGAAAGTTCATCATGTGCAATTTTTAGAAAATCAGATTTCTTCAGTCTTTTTACCACTTATTCTTCCCCTCCCCCGAATAGATGTCACCCACTAAATTCATTTTAATGCACAATATGATTTAATACTAGAATTCTTAGGGAAAGTACAAAACAATACATTGGCCTTAAGTGTTGTTTTCAGTTATACTGTGACTGACTATACATAATGGTTTTTAAACTGGATTTAGGTTCATCTCTGGTCAGTCTTTAATTGCTGCTCTATAGCCAAAGGCTTATGAGGTTTTAGGAAACTATGTTGCTTGAAAGGTAGACTTCATAAATCATAACTGATAAAACCCACTTAAGCTCACAGTCACATCACAATTGTATAGACCTAACTTCAATTTAAGTACTTTAAATAAACATTTAATTCATCAATGTTTTCATTTTGAGCTTTTTACACTTTTATTTTTGTTCTGAAAATTCTAAAATCAATTTTAAACAAATTCTTCTAAATTCATGCATGTGTTCTTGACTTTCTTAGATGTGGGGACAAGTAGGTATATGGCAAAGAAGTCACTTGACAAATAAGAAAAGAGATGGCTAAGTAAAATTTTAAAAGTTGCATCATGATTTTCTTCTTATATTAGGGCATTGTAAGTCTATCCTTAGGGCTTAAAATGAGTAAGAGGACTTCATAGGTTTTCCCTACAGACACAAAGCAAATGATTACTCAATTAATTTAGGTATAATTTTTATATCACTATACTGCTGAGTTTTACACATTCTAATGATTGTGTAAAGAATTAACAATTTAGAAACATAGTGGTAATTTTTCCTTGAGACTTGTACGTCTGAAAAAGAATTATTGACACAATGAATTCAGAGCTATAAGCCTGCTTAAAGAAGAATATAAGAAAGGATTTTTCTCCTTCCTCCGTATTGTTACTCCACTTAAAAATGGCCAGGTTCTACTATTTCTAGTCGCATTTTTACATAATCATCAATACATATTGTGCTTGATCTCATTTGCTCCAAAGGGAAATGGATCTTCAAAGGCCAAGCAGACCTCAGCAAACATCTATTTTTCCTAATTCTGAGACATCGATATTTTGGCGGTATGGACAGGATTTTTTTCTTTTTACGTAACATTTGTTTTCTTCAGACGAATTAAGATCTGTATTTGCTCTTTATATGAGCTGTGAATCTCTGAAATCTGATTCTTACAAGAGTGATTTTATATACAAAGTATATAAAGCATAAACTTTATATACAAAGTACATAGGGATTTTCATTCAAATCCCATTTTCTTTAAAAGCTAATCATCATTGTAATTTTGTTTTGTGAAAAAAATTGGTCATTATTTTGGATGCATCTGCCTTCATTTACAAGCTTTTTTTGTACAAAATTCTGGCAAAAGATAAACATTATCATAAATGTTTGATGGGATCTCTAGTGCCAAGTCAAATGATCTACATTTTGGAAATGTAATTGTGTTCTTCCTGATCTACATTGTATTCTACTAATGGTGCACATGTTAAGTTAATAGAATGTAAGCTCTTTAAGGGCAGTGGTTTACTGTTTTATCATTAGTGCCTAGAAAAATCTGTGCCTCCTACTAGAGTCTCAATAAATAGTTGCTGAATGAACAAAAGAATGAATAATTGAATTAATGAATATATTCTCAAGAAGCCTCAATTTCCTTATTTGTAAAATGATGAGTGCTATTTAATAATCTCCAAATCCCTGCTGAAACTAAGTTGTATATATTTGTGTCTTTCTGCCTCCAGTGTCCAATACAGTATCTTATGTAGATAGGCATACAAAATATTTAGTTTATGGTAATGACAGAAATTAGAGCACTTGAAGCACTTAAAAGCTTGAATATAATGAGTCACATACTCATGAAAAAGCAATTGAACATCACATGGATGTCCATTGACTTTCCTCAGTGTGTTCAGGTAGAGCTATGATCCAATGGCTAAATTTGTAAGTGTTGCATAATAAATGTATTGAGTTTGTTGAAGTTCTAGAAAAGTGGGAATATCTGTTTAATATGTCCATTTACGATGGTA